CGTTTTAAAATATTCAATAAAATAAAACATAAATCAACAAACACTTTTGTTCTTTTTCTAGGTTATAACCAACAGCATCTGCGTGAGGAACAAAGCCAGAAGCCTCCTGAATTCTACAGCAGAACTGCCTCAGAATCAAATGTGTACTTGAACACCTTTCATTACCCTAATCCTAATCTGAAAGACCACGCCTTTGACACGCTTAGTTTAGACAGCTCAGACAGCATGGAGACTAGTATATCTGCCTGTTCCCCAGATAATATTTCCAGGTACATTGTGACAATGTTTCATTTTTCCAGCAAATGCAACACAATAATTAGACATACTGTACAAGTATATTAGATTATTAAATATGAGTTTATTAAAATGTACCATTGTAGATCTTAGCCAGTGTAAGAAAAATATTTTATGTTTAGAAGCACCCAATCAGTACCCAATCAATGTAATAATTATTTAAGCATATGTAATTGTAGTTGAAAAGATAGGAAAGCAGGAATATTACATCTCTTCTGCCTACTTAAAGACCAGTTACTTCTGATATTTCCTCAACTGTCAGCTAGCACCATTTCATCTCAAGTGTTTCCATCTCAACCGATTGTTGCAATATATTTCACTTTAAGTACTAGTATTTTTTTTTCTTTTCTTCCTTCCATCTCTTATTCTGTGTTGCATTTTCCAGTGCATGACTTCAATGGTAGGAATTCTTTTTAGCTGAAGAATAAGAGTAATAAGAATATTATGTATTCTTATTAAACTGAAAATTTACCACAAACTGTATTCCTTCTGATGAATTTTGCTTCAAATAGTATGGACATCTACAGTATTTATTTCCGAGGAAGCTTCCGAGATAATCATCTTATCTCATTAGTAGAATTTTATGACAAATTCAAGGGAATCCTTGTCCACTTGAAAATCCCCATGTTGTCTCTCAGATTAATCTGACAAAAGCTGTTCTGCAGTTATTCCACTTTACTTCTTTTTTTGTGTGTTTTTGCTTGCTTGCTTGTTTTGTGTGTGTGCGAAAAAAAAAAACAGGTAGTTAAATAATGTCTTTTGATCAGTAATTCCACTGAGAAGGGAATACATAGAAAATAACAAAACGCCTAGAAATACATTTTCAATATTGAAATGTTTTCTCAAATATTTTTGTTATTTCTGGTTTTTGTTACAGTGCTAGTACTGCAAACGTGGCACGAATAGAAGAGATGGAAAGACTTTTAAAACAAGCTCATGCTGAGAAAACACGATTGCTTGAATCCAGGGTAATGTATATATAGAAAGAGGAAAGACACTCCTGTTGTTGAATTTGTGTTGTCACTACATTCTGAAATTAGTACATTTTCAATTGTAATTAATTTCAATTGATCAGTCAATACAGATTTAAAAGTATGCAGTTACTCAGATTTATTTATTATAGATTAATAAGAAATATGCACTATGATCCAGAACTGGTCTGGTAGACTAAGCAAATTAAGTTGTTGGTTGAGATACCCTAATTTTTAGGGACATTAATGATGAAGCATGTGGCCCAAGAGAGGTATCTATCATAACACATTGCATGTGCAGAAAAGGGATCAATATTCTGTATGATATGGTGGTTGGAATATTGGACTTGAACCAGAGAGATTCAGGTCATTATCACTTTATGTCAGTGCAGCCGACCATATAAAGTTGTTCTGAAAATAAAAATGAGAAGTGATGCTATGTACCTTGCCCTGAACTCCTTAGAGAAGGGGTTTTTCAGGCTTTTTGAATCTATGGAACCTATTAGTTGCAAAAAAAGAAAAAAGAAAGAAAATTCCTGGAACCCCTGGAAAGTTCTAGTGATAGAAAATTGACTGCATTCAAGCAAACTTTAAAAAATGGTTTTTGCTCTTAGTCTTTCACATAACCCCGTCAACACAATTTGAAAAACCCTGCCTTATAAAAAAAAGGCATTACATAACTGTAATTAATAAACAAATGTTGGGCTATCTGGCCTTAGTTGTGCTCTTCTGAACCAAGATAACATCCATACGTGTTAGAGAATAAATCCAGTGGACTCTGACAGTATGAATCTTCAGGACTAGATTGGAATAATGTTGTTTTAAGAGGAGCAGTAACTTCCACTATATTTGGAAGTCTATAAAATAATCTGGGTTAATACAGCATAGATACTGAACATGAATATATTAAACTCAAATCTGTTTTAAGAGCCATTTTTGTTGAGTCATATGTGTCTATCCAACCATCATTATAAGGAGGATGCAGACTAAGTGTTATCAAGGTTCTAGGAAGGACCATTTGATGGCTATCTGCAATGCTTAGTGATAGTTGTAAACCTGGGATTATACATGTAGATATGTCCTTAATTGTACAATAGATCCATTTTTCAGTGCTTATGCTTGTATATACACTAAAACCTAGGTATATAGGTTTTAAAAACTAAAAATCTCAATAGATTTTGTACTCAGTATTACAGTCCAGTGATTCCCAAACACATTGACAGAAATATTTGAATCTTTAAAATAGAAAACCTTATAATTGGGGCAAAAATACCCTAACCCTGAGGCAGAGTCAGTGAATGGACTCCTTATGTGCTGTTCTTGCCTTTCAGATGATCATTGATTTTTTTTCTGGATTTATCTTTCTATGGTATTCTGTGCTTTTACTATGTTTTGAAGACAGGCCAAGATTGCCACCATTTTTATAAAGTCAAAATACTGAAAACAATAAATGAAGAGCACTGCCCTGCCCTAAGCTAATTCAGATTCTACAGCAAAAAAATCTCCTTGTTTCCAATCCACACAACAAGAAAGGAGCGGGAAGACACGCACAGACACAGAAATGGACAGGCAGTAATCATCCAAATATGAGGACCAATTTCACTCCTTCTCATTTACCTGGGCTCAAAACTGAAAGGTGGACAGGCAAACAGTGCATTTAAATTGGATCAACTTGTTTTAAACAATATATTTTTTAAAAAAGGAGTTGCTTTATGTTTTACTGTCTGCATTCCTTTAGGAACGAGAAATGGAAGCAAAAAAAAAAGCACTAGAAGAAGAAAAGCATCGCAGACAGCAGCTAGAGAAAAGGTTACAAGAAGAAACTAGTCAGCGACAAAAACTAATTGAAAAAGAAGTTAAGATACGTGAAAAACAGAGAAGTCAGGTATGTAGTTTGAAATAGAGAAAATGCAGGTATTGAAGGAAGAGAAGCCTCGCACATATTAATAGGTTACATTCTTGGACCAAGATCAGAAAGACCTAGGTGCAAGTCCACCCCCAGCTTTGGAAGCTCACTGGATCACATGATAAATTTAATTTATCAAAGACCAGTATAGCTATTTGGATGGAAAAATAGAGTTAACAACTGCAGGTTATATATAAATTATGAAAATGTAGAGCAAGTAGATGAATTGTCCCTGAAAAGATGGGAAAATGGATAGAGTTGTTTTTTTTAAAAAAAAAAGATGTGCAAAAGTTGATAATAAAGTAGTGGATGGCATGTTGTCTGTTGTGAGGATTGTATGTTTGTTAAAAGAAGCTAAATTGGCTCTCTGTAAGAGCATGCTTCTCATTTTGTTACATGAAGTGGGAAGGGGATACGTAAGGAGAAACATAAGCTAAGTTAAATTCAGTTGGGATGGGGGTATTTAAGAAGTTTAAGTGGTAAAACTACAGAGGTACAGTCAAGAGTGCATGTGTGATGAATGTATGTGTATTGAATACAGAAAATGTATACAAGTATATTTAGATGGTTTGATCATATAGAGAGAATGAGTGAAAATCAAATTGCAAAACTTAATAAAGCCAAAGTGAATGAGTTGAGAGCTAGCAAACAGTGTGGTTGGATGGAGTAGATGAGATCCTCAAAAAGACAGGTGAGAGGTTTAAGCTTATAAACCATTACATAGCATGGGGCCGGGATATTTGAGGGCCTGCTTCTTGCCAATCACACCTACCCCTCACATTGGGACCAGCAGGAAGGCACATTGCAGGTCCCATCCATGAAGGAGTGTCATCTGATGGAGCCCAGAAGGAAAGCCATTTCTGCCACAACACCCACATTTTGATATCATTCCCCTGGAGGTCAGATTGGCCCTAACCTTGCTGGCCGTCCAGAAGGGCCTGAAGACATGGCTTTGCCATCTTGGCTGGGGATCTGGTAACATGGATATGGAGCCTGCAAAGTGACTATATTGCTAGGGAAACTGAGTGTCCTCTCCCACAGATTATGAGGTTTTTTATGGGTTTTATTGTTTTTTATGGGTTTTGATGGGTTTTTTCCATGATTTTGTAATATTTTTGATTATTTTGTTGTTTCAGTTTAGTGTTTTTAACTTTGTATGCTGCTCAGAGTCATGTCTGTGAAATGAGCAGCTATATAAATTTACCAAATAAATAAATAAACAGCAATGTATGAATTGGAAGATGGACATGATGGAAGTGGAAACAGTATACAAGGTTAAGCTATTAAAATATACATTGGGTAGTTTTGGTATAAACCAGATTTAGTTACATTTCCTTTTATTTTCTCCTGTCTCTTGCCATGAATTTCTTTTGCTTATTCTACTTATGTTTTTTTTCTGCACTTTGCATAACGTTGCGTATCCTAAAAGGGAAGAGCTTTAATGGCACACATTTATTCATGCTATGTATTTATTTATGAAAGAAAAGTGGGCTAATCATAATTATAATGAGAGAACAGAAAATTTTAATACCAACATTAATTGTATGCTTATCTTAGTCTCGTCCCTTGACCCGTTATTTGCCAGTCAGAAAGGAAGATTTTGATCTGCGCGGCCACATAGAGACAGCTGGCCACAATATAGAGACTTGTTACCATGTCTCACTCACTGAGAAGACCTGCCGAGGCTTTCTTGTTAAGATGGGAGGTAAAATTAAAACATGGAAAAAACGATGGTTTGTGTTTGATAGAAACAAGAGAACGTTTTCTTATTATGCAGGTGAGTTATGGTCTTAGAATGCATGGCATTCTTCCTGTTGTTTTATTAAAGTGATTAAGTCCATAAATTCTGCTACTTTTGTAACTAAGTCTGTTTGTCTTGTTGCTTGTCAGTCTTGTATGTTTACATATTAGAATGAAGCTAAAGGTCAGAATTAGGGTTCTTTCCTCATATGCTGTATCTTACACATTCTTCTCTAGAAGCAAGGAAATGCCCAATAAAACTGTGTGCATAGATGGAATCAGTTAGAAAAGCATGAAAAACTGGTGAATTTATGAATCTGGCCAGGCAGTATTCTTTAAATTAAGGACCTGGTTTCTTGTTGTTTTGTAAGATTTTCTGTTACAAGTTATCAGTACTTGGAATCATATCCATATTTTTGGCTAGAAAATTAGGACTTCTTCAAGTTCAACTTGCCATCTGGAGAATCACATCTGCCAAAAGCTGGATCTTTTTCTACTTGCTTCCTGTCATTGACTTTCCTGCATTGTGCAGGTTTCAACAGTTGATATTACAGCAAACCAACAAGATTGGGGAGGAGCAAATAGGAGGCTTAACTACAAGGAATGAAAAGTCAGATGTAGCCTATGAGAAATACAATTTGTGTGATTGACTTGTGTTCTTGTGCTATCTCTCTTTTCTCTTGAGAAATTAAATTGGCCTTTTGGCCTTTTCTACCTTGTTCTACCATCAGCAATCCCTGAAACCAGTATTTCAAACTATAGCTATAATATTTTATCAGGTTTGAGATACAGAAATTAAAAAAATACATCTATGTACCAAATGATCAGTGTTTTTTGGAACCAGCCACAGAGAGAGAGAGAGAGAGAGAGAGATTTTTTACATCTTATGACACAGTAAATAATGGTGGTAAATGGCAGTATCTTTTATGTGATTTCAACTGAGAAAAGGCTTCAGATAAGAAATTCTGCACCTTGTTAGGAAGATGCCTCATTGATATTCTGATATGTTAATGTATTATCAAATAAATTGATAATTAAGTAAAACCTCAGTTTATTTTAAATTAAATACAGAGGTTTTAATGTTAATCTGTAATGTGGATTGTTTGTTTCAACCCACTTTTTTTCTTTTACTGCAGACAAACATGAAACTAAATTAAAAGGAGTAATTTATTTCCAAGCCATTGAGGAAGTCTATTATGATCATTTAAAGAATGCTTGTAAGGTAAGAGAAGATGCATATGTTGCTTTTCTTAATATATTTTCTGAAGTTTAGTTACAGTAGGCCAGACACTAATTATTGTACACACAGTTTACAGTTGAAAATGCCGCTTAATAAGTAAAAGGTTATGGTTTCAAGAACAGTATATAAAAATATAAAGGAAAATAGAGGGAAATTAATAAATCCTTTCAAATGAGATGCACTATCCAGATACTAAGAAACTCCTAAATTTTAAGTGTTGTTACTTTTTTGCCATTTCAGATCACATTTCCTTTGAAAATATTCTTTTTTACAAATGTTATATTTGAATCAAGCACATACTATTATGCTTAAGATGTACTATATCCAAGTTTATAAGCTTTTTTACTGTAATGAAACTGAGGTGAAAATATTCTGTCCAAAACAGAAAACTTATTGAGACTATACATCCTACACACATTCTGACTCTGAAACTTTATAGAGATCATGCTAATGTGCTAGTGTCTGTGCTTCCCTTCCCACACATAGAATTTTTCAGCAAATACAATGAATGCAATATAGTAGAGAGCTAGTATTCCACCCACTACAGAATAGTATTGTTTTCAGCTGGAATCTGTTCACACTCCTAGTTTTCATGGATAAAGTCTGTGCAGCCTCCAGATGTTGCTGAACTACAACTCCCAGCCAACATGACCAGTAGTGTTGGGACATGTTATCTTTTTACCCAAAAGAAGACAGCTTTGATTTTCAGTCAGTCCCTCTCCACAAAAAAAAAACAAAACTAAAAAACAAAGAGTACACAGAAAGGAAAGTTATAAACATAAACAATATAAATAGTGCAGGGTAATGTTTATGTGACACAGTATACTGTATGTCTCACAAGTGTATTTGTATAAGAGTGTGTGTGTGTGTGAGAGAGAGAGAGTGTATGTTAACTGCCAGTAGCCATATTCCTAAGAGGGCAGAGCCAGGACTAAAAAACATTTTTATTTTAACTAAATTAATAACTACTAATGAAAATTGCATACAAAATAAGGCACTCTATTTATAAAAAATGTTTCAACCTCAGCTGCGTATACCAAGCATTCTTTCTTTCACAACTACGGAAGAAAAAGAATAAAAAATGTAAAGCTTACAGTGACATACACTCATTAGATTTCCATCTGTTTCAGACTGTATAATATTAATTATATATGCTTTTACTTTCTTTCCAGAGTCCTAATCCATTGCTTACTTTCAGCGTTAAAACGCATGACAGAATATATTATATGGTGGCCCCATCACCAGAAGCTATGCGGATATGGATGGATGTAATAGTTACAGGAGCAGAAGGTTACACCCACTTCATGTTGTAGTTAAATGGTGCAAAGTTTCATCAATAGGGCATAATGCAATAACAGCTGTGTTTGTGAGGATGGAAAGCCATATTTAGTCATATTTGACAAGTCATATGTATAAAATAACAAGAATCCTACCAGAACACCTAATCTTATGCTCCAAAAGGAAATACATGATATGTAAGGGAACATCAAGTTCTAATGAGATTTGTTTTATATTGCTGTGTTTTAGATTCAGTACTTGTTGAAACAGCAGAGAGAAAAAAGGCTACTTAAAAGATGATAACCCTCCAAAAATGGATAATCAGATAGCCATAAGCCAATTTCTGTGGCAAATTCTACCATGCAGAACTTTCCTTATGAAAATAAATGTCATAAGTTAACAGTGTTGCTATACTTTTAAGTATACGATTTTGTATTAAGAAGTGAAAGAGAAAGATATGATGCCTCTATATTTAATGTACAGGATTTATGAACAATTTTATGTTCTTTTCCTTACAAGTATTTTATAACAAATTTTAAACTACTGTTTGCAGTGTTTTTGTCTTAAAACACAACCAAAGATCCATACCATGTGTTGAGATTTAGTTTTATGTAATAGAAGAGTTTTTAAATTCTTTTATATATGCTAGTGGAGTTTTAAAATATTTCTGTCTATATCTTGGAAATGCTGGATGTTAGTTTGAATGTTAACAAAAAAATAACATCTTTAGGATCTTTGAAATATCAGCTTTCTTTTTAGAGGGTAGGATCAGATAAAAATCCACACTGAGCAATCACATTCTGCATTTCTTTAGTGAGGCTTTTACTTAATTTCTTAACAAATTACAACCCTCTTCACAATATTATTCCTTTACTAGTTATAGCAGTACAGCTTAGTAGAATTAAGAACTGTAATTAAAAAACCATGACCATGTATGGTTATAATGGCCATTTAGTACCCTAAAAGAGATGGATTCCCCCAAACAACATCGTTTTTGTGGGTAAAATTACAAGTCTTTGGAAACTATATTCATAACTTTTCCATATAAAATAAATATTTTAATGTAGGTGAATATTCTCCCAGGCTAAGTTGGCTTAGAAACTAGAATGTGAAGAATTTCTTTGGACATACAGTAGATAAGGTCAGTCATGAAGAAAAGTCTTCAAATCTTTTCTGAATTATATTTCCATTGATGATGAAGAAGCATTTCTGTTTTGGCACACAGACATATCCTGCAGCTAGTTTGACAGGTGTCTGAATAGAAGCCATGAAAACTTATTTTGCATCATAAACAAAATAACAGTCCCATTACACATTCTTTTTAAAGCTGTGCTTCTGATTTCATATTCTAGATCATTCTTTGTGTATTAATTTATGTTGCTCTTTAACATAGAAAAATATTTTGTTTCACATATGTACAGTACTGAGGAAGCTGTCACTGCATTTCTCTTGAATAAAGTACAGTAAATAATCCTTTTCTCTGTTCCTTATGGAGTCTCAAGAAATGATATGGGGACCATAGCTCAGTAACAGAGCACATGCAGTATGCAGACACTTCCAGGGTCAAGCTCAGCATCTCTGATTTAAAAGGATTCTGAGAAAGATCTCTTCTTGAGACTTTATTGAATGGCTCCCAGAGGGGATAATACTGGGTTAAATCACTAAGTCTTACTGATTCTAGGCCCAGTGGGTCAAGTGATGTTCTGGAGCCTGTATCTAGCACTTGCCCTACCAAGTCTAAAATGTTTATGCATTTAAGGGATCACCATGTTATGTTCTTAAGATTACATATTCCTTTAATATCATTTTCATTTTAAATACTTTGCTTGTCTTTGGATATTGTACTCAGATGAAGTTTGGATTTTGAATCATGTTCGTATTTGATGTTGCCTTTTAATATTTTTATTTTGTACATGCCATGTTTTCAGTGCACTAAACTAAAATTGTTATATCTCCTTAAGGAAATATAAATAATGAACCACTTTCAGAAATAGTTATAATTTTAAAATATAACTGAACGTATTGTAGTGTGTGATGCCAAGTAGTTTGATTACAGTAGTTCAAAGATCCCACATATTTTCAAATGCATTTACATGAAAAGAAATCACATAGAAACTTGCGTCTAAGTTGTTAAATCAGGGCTTAAAATTGTTTTTCCTTTAATTCAGCAAAAGAAAATAAAGAATGAAGTGTTAAACTTCAATTGTATATACATAGTGTAAAAATATGTTTTATTTAACACCCTGGGATTTACTTACATTTGTGTGCTCCAGGCGAAAGGGCATTAAGTTGGATCCAGGCTTATTCAAAGTAGACCCATTTAAATCCATCAAAATTAAGCTTGTTATCAATAACAAGGTGAATTGATTCCAGTAATTCTGTTCTAGATACAATTCAGCCAGAAAAAGAAAAACTATGAAAAACCTAATTTGTGTCTTCTGAAGGAAAAGGAGATTGCAAAGTTTGCTTAACCAATGTTAGAAGATAAATTCCAGAAATGAATGCTATTGGTTTCCATAGTTTCTATTGCATATTTTAATTTTACTTCTATATAAATTTTACAGGTTTTCTATTTTTTTTTTAATCTTGCATGTTGTAATAGCAACATTTAAATAAATGTTTAAAAATACATTTTCAAATTCTGTGTCTGATTTTTCAATAATTTTCTGTAAACCTAACTGGTATAAAGTGCTACAGTTTTCAGATTTTGCTATTAATGCAATTACACAACGGGCAGCTCAGTCCTAAATAGCTACAATGATAGAAATAGTTGAATCGCTTTAGGTTGGTTGAAGATATGCTGCTCTCTGATCTCATTTCAAGATCGGTTCTCATCAAACAAATAATTATTTATTAAATTTAATAGTAATTTATTAAATTTATATGCCGCCCAACTCCCAGCAACACTGGGTGAGTTACGTTTTTTTAAGAACAACACAAAAAACACAAAAACAACACAAAATAAAGATGGCAGAACAAACCCAGATGGGAACAAAGAAAAAAATGTCACTTATCCTCACCAAAGCCCTGTGAAAAGAGCCACGTCTTCAGGGCCCTTCAAAATACCAATAGGCTGTTTGAGTCTCTGGGGAACTTCATTCCAGAGGGCAGGCACTGCCACAGAGAAGGTGCAGTTCCAGGGTTCCAATGGGTAGCATTGTTTAAGGAAACCAGAATGCTCCAACCCTGCCAGATTAGATGACCAGATAGATACTATTGAAGACAGGCGGTTCCTCAAGTAACCTGGCCCTATGCCATGTAAGGCTTTATAGTGACTGGCACCTGACTCACACCTGGAAGCAAACTGGTAATCAGTGTAGCTCACAAAGCAGAGGTATTACATGGGCATACCAAAGCATGCCCATTACTGCTCATGCTGCTGCATTCCGAACCAGTTGAAGCTTCCAAGGGAAGCCCAAGTAGAGTGCATTGCAGTAGTCAAGCTATGGGGTAACTAGGGCATGATTGACAGTCTGAAGGGCACCCCAATCCAGGAAAAGGTGTAACTGTACCAAAAGAAGCTGGGCAAGGGCCTTCCGGGCCACAGGTGACACCTCATCAAGCAGGAGCTGTGAGTCCAGGAAGCCCAAATGGCACACCACTGTTAAATGCCACCCTATTCAAGGTCACAGGTGGAATATCTGGGTGGTCCAAACACCCACAGCCACTCAGTCAGAGACAGTTCTTCCTCATCCAAACTCACACAGCCTCCAGACACTGGGAAGGAAATTTGACAGCCTCACTCGGCCAGCCTGGAGTGAAAAGATATAATTGGGTATCATCAGCGTACTGATGATACCAAACCCTGAACCAGCGGATGACCTCACCCAGTAGTTACATGGAGATGTTGAAAAGGAGGGGAGAGGGAATAGAACTGTGATATCCCACAAAAGAGGGGCCTCGGGAGCAATCTCTCTCCCCCCGCCCCCAACCAATACTGACTGGAACCAGCCCTGGAGAAAGGAAGAGAATCACAGTAAAACATTGCCCCCAATTCCCAACCCAAAGAGCTGGCTCAGAAGGATACCATGATTGACAGTATCAAAAGCCACTGACAGATCAAAGAGCTCAAGGATGGATGCATCACTGCCACCCAGCTTCCCTGCAAGTCATCTACAATTGAAACTACAACTGTCTCAGTACTCAGCACTGAATCTCGACCTGAAACCCAACTGAAACAGGTCTAGATAATCCATTTCCTCCAGGATGGAGGCACCACTCCCTTCATGAAAGAGGCTGACACTACTGCATGGACCAACTGCAGGTCACCTCCCTGGCTGCTTTCATGACTCAGGAGGGACCTGGATCCAGTAAACAGGTGGCCAAGCTGACAGCACAGAGTACCCTATTCACTTCCTCAGGAGTCATCAGCTCAAACTCAGATCACACCACCAGTCCATGCCCCAGGCTCTGGTCAGAGTCCAAGGCAGAGCAAATCTGAGTGACTGAATAATCTTCCCAGCAGCCCAGCAGATGTTCCGTGGGCCTTCCCTACCCAATAGGGGCTGCATCACCCTAAACAGGGTTGCTGGATGGCTGTCAGTGGACACAATATGGATGGGGAAATACTGGCGTTTCACTGCCCTTATTGCCACATGGTAATTCCTAATATGGGCTCTTATCTGTGTCCAGTCAGACTCACTTCAGGTTTTCCTCCAATGACGCTCCAGGAAGTATTATTATTATTATTCTGTTGTACTCAAAATTGTACTGGACATTAGGAGGCATTGTGGGTATTTTTTCAGATCTGCAGAGTAGGTTTTTCTAAAAATGTTTATTGTTAAAATAATGAAATATAAAAGGCAACATTGAATAGTATAATACAGTGAAAAAAACTAAAAATCTATACAAAATTAATTCATTTGTTAAGTTTATAATTAAATCTGGACTATGTAGCAATAGAATGTGTGAACTCATTTTTAGAGACTTTTCAAATATAGATAATAAAGTCGAATCTTGGATCCATTCCTTCAAATCAAGATAATGGCTTTTTTTCCAATTACATAAAATGATCCTCTTTACCATACCCCAAGCTTGATAAACCCAACGCTCTTCATAAGACAAATTCCATGTTTTTACCCAGTTTATCTATCCATCCATTCATCCATCATATTTATATAGCCGTCCATCTCACTTAAAGTGACTCTGGGCAGCATACAACAATTAAAAAGGATAAATACATAAAAACAATTAAAAGTAAAAAACTATAAAAGCACACAGAACAGGAGGGGATAATATTAATAAGAGAGCCATCGCAAAATCTCCCTGGTCCCCTGGGAGTCCCAAGCCTGATTACATAGCCAGGTCTTGAGAGACTTGTGGAATGTTAAGAGGGATGGAGCTAATCTCACTTCTAGAGGGAGAAGATTCCAAAAACCGGGCGCCACAGCAGAAAAGGCCCAGCTCCTGGGACCCGCCAAATGTAATTCCCTGGCAGATGGGACCTGCAGCATGGCTTCCCTGCCAGACCTGAGAGGACGGGCAGATGTAATCGGGGAGAGGCAGTCCCTCAGGTAACCCGCCCCCATGCCACGAAGGGCTTTAAAGATCAAAACCAGCACCTTGAATTGGACCCAGAAGCAAACTGGCAACCAATGCAGCTCGTGTAACATGTACCACCCTAGGGGCACACATAAATGCCTGTGCTGCTGCATTTTGCACCAGATGAAGCTTCTGGATACTCTTCAAAGGCAGCCCCATGTAGAGCGCATTACAGAAATCCTAGGTGACTAGGGCATGAGTGACAGTGAGTAGGTCCCTCCAATCCAGGAACGGGCACAACTGGTGCACAACATGAAGCTGTGCAAAGGCCCTCCTAGCCATGACTGCCACCTGCTCCAAAGAGTCGTGAGTCCAGGAGGACCTCCAGATTGCGCACAGAGTCTGTCTGGGGCAATGCTGGGGCAGTGTATATCCTGTGTGTGGTATTTTGATTTCCTGCAACTGCTGAACAGGAAGACCTGGATACCTCCTAAAACTAATACACTATAATATAAGTCATATAAAGTGTGGAGATCTGTGAGTTCAATTCCTGGTAGAGGGATTGAACCCCATAGAATAACATCTGGCTACTGTGACTGAAGAGTCCCAGTAAAGGATGGAACCACTCATGTTTTACCTCCTAGTGGTCAACACCACGCAGGATATACACTGGGTAAAAATAGAGAAATCCCCTCCATCAACAGGGGAAGGAGTGAAAGTTATGCAAAAACCTTATACATGAGGGCATGACGTAATGTAACATCTACATCTCTCTCCTCTGATAGTTTAAGAGAAAGTGGACTATATATATAAATTATTCTTATAAGCAACCATGTAACAGAAGGAGACAAGTAGTACCTTTTCTGACTAATAAATTTTATTAAACTTCATGTGAGCTGCAGCTCATTTCATTAGATGCACTGAGGGGCTTGACTATTGTAGGATTTAAACTGGGGTGACATGAGGGGAGAGGGAAAAAGGGGGAAACAGGGTAGTTATGCAGATTCAGGTTACACATGAGACACATTAAACTACCTTATCAATAAATAATTGCAGTGTTTTAAAAATCCATTGTGTTTGTTGAGACTTTCTGAAATTGCCTGAAACATTTGATGCATGTGAGTTCAGCAACCTCTCATTCAATGGAAAGTCACTTCTGACTGTCTTCAAAAACAGTCACTTTGAGATCTATTGGAGTCTATTGGAGATCTACTGAGATCTATTAAAGATCTATTGGAGTGTCCTAGGAAGCCGAAATGTAATGATTTGTCAGTTGAAAAAGGTGCTGTCAGACTTCTTTTGATTTTTTTGCCACCATAGACTAACACAGCAAAATAACCATGTATGTATTTGTAGCACATTTTCATATCACGTTCTCTGTATTACATACATTTTCAAGCATCAGTCTATTGTAGCAACATACATCAGGGTCTTTAGACAAATTTTTGAAATCCACCTCTCAATGCACACTTCATCAGATAAATGTATAAATGCCCTTTCCTATTTTCTGCTGTCAGTTTTACTGAAGAACGGGAAAGAAAAAAAAAAAATCGAAAGTAGCCAACCAGTAGAATTTGCGAAGAACAGACCTGTCAGAATAAATTTATAAATCTCCCACTTGGAAGATCTATATTGTATAACCATAGGGAAACCTAACTTGTCTCTCTATGTATCTCATAGAGATACGAACCATAGAGACAAAAGCGGTTTTCGTTGTTCTACAGGCAAGAGCGGTACCCACTTGGCGCATGCACATGCGTAATTGCCGCTTCCTGTCCCTCCTCCTGCGCATGCTCTCTGGCTGGCAGAGCAGCCGAAGGAAAAGGCGTGTGCCAGTTTTGCCGTCGGGCAGGAGGGATATGGCAGTAGCGGACGTTGCGAGAGTATTTTCGCGGGGGTTGCTAAAATGGGGTTCGGCTGTAGCCCATAGGACGGTCTTAGGCTACCCTCAGTTGCTGGGTAAGTGCGGAGTGGATGAGGCGAGTGGCCTGAACGGCTATCCTTGAGATCCCGCTTCGTCCCGCCGGCCGAATGGAAGAAAGGGCAGCCGTCGAAGAGACGCCTGCATTTACTCTATTTTGTAGCTAAGATAACAGGATACGATTGATGGCTG